TGTGGGCTGCGCGGTAAGCCCGGCAGGCCGCTGGCGAGTAACCCGTCAGGTCGCCATTAGAATGAGGTACCCCAAACCTTGGGGCGAGGCGATGCGTCCCTCATTTCGTACTCCTCCCAGCTGCCAGGCGCCTTCCCAGGCCTTTTCAGGCGCCTCCCAAGACCCTCCACGAGCTTTGCAGGGCCTCCCAGGCGTATACTAGACAAAACATTCCGAGCCCGCCAAAAACCCGGCAAGTTACTGTACCAATCTTCTTTGTGGCTCAAGCCGCTCCCTCAAGCCAAGGCTCTGCCTCGAAACAAAAAATGGGCAAGGCTTCATCTCAATAAACACAAGAAGCCTCGAGCCAGACCCAGCCCAAACCTTGCACCTGCCTGCTCTAGCCAGCTGCGCAGGACAAACAAGAAGACAGGAGCGCTATCAGAGTTCGAGAGAACCCTAAANNTCCAGCACCAGCGCACCCCCTCATTGAGACACCCTAAACCCTAAATCCCTAAATCCCTACACCCTAAATCCCCAAACCCTAAAGCCTAAACCCTAAATCCCAAATCCTAAACCCTAAGCTCCAAATCCTTGGGAGGTGGTTATAGATTCTCAGCATCTGGTGGACAACTGGGGGGACGGAGCAGCCTCCTGGTGGTACTATGCGCCTGGGAACAAAGAGGATTTAGGGTTTAAGGATTTCAGGTTTAGGGTCTAAGGTTTCGGGTTTAGGGTACTATGCGCCTGGGAACAAAGAGGATTTAGGGTTTAGGGTTTAAGGATTTCAGGTTAGGGTCTAGGGTTTCGGGTTTAGGGTACTATGCGCCTGGGAACAAAGAGGATTTAGGGTTTAGGGTTTAGGTTTTCGGGTTTAGGGTACTATGCGCCTGGAAACAAAGGTTCTAGCTTTTAGGGTGCCAAAATTTAGGTTACAGGATTCACTCGTAGGATAAGTTTTAAGGAATCATGAACTTTATGATTTCTTTTGTGGAATATAATCCTAAGCCCTAAGCCCTGGGTCGTAGGTTTCGGGAGTTCCTGTTCGAGCTTTCGGGAGTTCAGTTTTAGGGGTCCGCTGGTGTTACTTGTGCATTGGGGCTTTCTCCCGTGAGGGCATTGCCATAAAAAAAAAAAAAAAACTAAACCCTGAAACCCTAAACCCGAAACTCTTTCCAACGTTGGGACAGAGTGACTACTGTTACCTAGAAGCTCATACACATGTAAATTTCCACGAGCTTCAAAATCTGCTCGTGGCAGTGGGGGATGTGAAAAAGTATGCGTTTTCTGGATTTCTGTTCGCGAGGATTTCTCTAAAACCCAAACCCCTACCTTTAACATTAAACCCGGCCTAAAACTTAAACCCTACCCTAAGCTTATGTAAACCCTAAACCTTAAGTTCGCGGGGATTGCTCTAAACAAACCTTAAACCTAAACCGTAAGGCCTGTAAACCCTAAGCCCTGAACACTAAACCCTCAAGTAAACCCTAAAAGGGTGCATCTGGTAAATGTGTGTTTCAGGGGGGTTTTCGAGGGATCACAATTCCAGCAGCTCTCCCTGGACAACATCGCTGCGATACTGCCGCGACCTCATTTTTCCCGTCTGTGGGGGTCACTGCCGTTGGATTTCCAACTTCCAGCGTTGTTTGTAAAGAAGCAAGCAAATCTGTATCGTCCGCTTGGCCACTGTTGCAGTTGCCTGTCGCCGACTGATCCTTGCGCACCGACCAATGAAATCCTCATCTGTAAAGCAACTGAAGCCTTGGCCACTGAGAATTTGCAACTAGAATCCTACAATAATTGTAGTATGACCTTTGGATCTCCAAATTTTCTAGAAAGTATCCAAGTAACTCATCATGTTCAATACCCAGCCGCTGGGGAGATGAAGCTCCATTTCTCTCCTTAGGGGGGCAGTGTGGGTTGCGGGCAAGGGTTGTGTTTGTATGACTTTCAATGTTAACATATAAAAAGGGCACAGAGGCTCTGTCAAATCGGACAAGGTTCAACAAGTGAACTTGCATATGCAACTTAGGCTTCTGTTTGAAAAGTGCCCATTTCCGCTGGCTGCATAGAGCAGCCAGCGCTCCGTAGCCTTCCTTACATGAAAGAACATGAATGTTGATTCCCCACAAGACTTCAGTTGCTCAACCATTTTCGCGAATTCCTTAATATGAGGATTGTTGCAACTTGCTAAGCATCGAGCTAAGGGGCTGTTGCGGCGTACCCATCTGAAAGCAGATCACGCGCTATGCTTGAAGGAATCCAGAGACCATATCCATGGATTTCACGATAGAAATCGTCGGTAGATTTGAGTGTCCACTGCAAGACTTCTAGCAAAGGACGAACTGAAGTCTCCTGAATATCGCACGCAATCATGAGGGCTTGGGAAATCACTCATGTGAGATTTACCCCGGAGGCCCTAATGGTTTGGGAAATCACACTGGGGAGGGACTAGGGGTTTTGGAAATCCCTTTCTAAAGTTTTTTCTGGGGAGGCTCTCAGGGTTCGGAAAATCTCCATTATATGCATGAGCTTAACTGGTGAGGCCTCAAAGGATTGGGAAATCACTACACGCATGAGATAATTGCATGGGCAGGCCCTAGGGGTTTGATCGAATTATGAGGAAGCCAGGCTGCAACGCGAGTGAGTTCCAATGCACAAACATAAGTACGTAGCCAGGACAGCAACAGGATGGTGTCAAACCCTTTGCCAACGCCAGAAGGAAAGTCCGATGACCTTAAAACTGCAGGTTCTGGAAGGCTCTTGCTAGTTGATCCACGTTTCTCCCTATAGGTTGACAATATAGGAACAAAACAGACGAATCAGGTCAAAGATCGATTTCATCTTCAGCTTCTTCATGCTGAGGCCGGTCAAACTTGGGTACTTGCCGTTGCACTGACACCATTGCTTAAACAACATATAGACATCATTCAGCCTGGCATTCAAGCTGCGCCCAGCCGCGAGCTGTAGATGGCAAAGCAATACGCAGCTTGACGTAGCCATGGTAGAACCATAGCCCTGAATGGCATACGTGTGCGCAGGATCAATGCGAATCATACGCCAGCTTTCCCCACCAGGAATCATGCGCAGAGGGCTGTACTCACCCCGCTTCCACGGATGTGGTACTGGCATATAGGGATTCCAGCTTCGGATTGGTGATGTGTCGGACATGTTGTACCAATCCTCATGAAGCATCAAAACCATGTCAGGAGCAGGCCCCGGTCCATACAACACCCGCTGTTTGAATTGATCCAAGCCCTATATACAAGCCATATAGGCCTATACATATCAGCACTAGTGATACCTGTAGATCTCGAGATCAAAACCCCGCTTGAATTACACAATCGACAAACCGACCCCATGAGCTTTAACAAACAAATCCTCTTGGTCGCAAAGGTGGCATATCCTCTTGGAGCTCCATCCAGGAGCTAGAGCAAAAGCCTTGCGCAACCAAACCCAATCTCCCTTGCCGCCCAAGTATGCAAAGCGCAGCTTGTAGTCCCTGTCATCATACTGCACCTGTATGGGGGTTTTATCATGTTCAAAAACTGTCATGTTTACGAGATTTGTAAATCTAAGTTTTAAAGCTTTGGATTCCTGGAGGCCGTTCTCAAAGAGCTCCTTGCAATCAGCTGTCAAAGCTTCCAATAAGCCGAAGATGCTCTTGTCTTTCTTCGCGTAGCACTGTGAAGGGAAGACTGTAAAGAGCAGCCGACTGCAGAAAGAATGCCTCACGCTTCCAGTCCCAGGGACCCCTAGCTATACGACAAGCACCCAAGAATAACGCAGCCAAAGTACCCTGATGAGTTTAAACGGTGAACTCCGTAATGAGACATCAGTCCTTGAAAGGCAATGCTCAACAACGGAAGCTTGCCCCGCCCTCGGCCCTCGTCGCCATGTATCATATACGGGATCACATTGCTGTAGTCCGAGTCCATACTTTGGTAGACTGGATGAGTTGCATCCACTGCCTTATATTTCTGCCAGAAGTCGGTCAATACTGACCTCCACGCGTGCTGATTTCTGATGTTGTTCCCAGCCAGGAGCAGCTCGCCACCCATGCTAAGTTCATATTCTGCCCAAGAAGATAATTGCAGGATAGGCCAGGCAACGTTAACTTCCCGTCTAGTGCGATGATGCCGCACAGGCAGATCAATATAAACCATGGGGATAGGCAAGGAAAATTCTGCATTGTTAAGCAGGCTGTGGACATTCCGGGCAACATTCCCATTTGAGGTTTGCCCCCGACCACACCGCGCCAGGCGTTCAAGGAATTCATCGCGTTCACCTAGATACAGGGCTTGAGGGAGTTGTGGTCACAATGTATAGGATTTAAGCTAGATATAGGCATGATCTGTATTGAATCTTAATGGCCTCTCCGATGAACCTTCTTCAGAATCTTCTTTGCAAGTCGCACAGTCCGCGCACAGGAGTCAGCCTTACTTTTAAGGAGGGAACTGGTCTTTGCAAATTGGGCTCGGGTTCTCCTTTGCTAGCTTAGATGGATGTATAGGGTTACTCGTACAGGGCCAGCGCCCTTATGTACCTTTGGAATCATAAACCCTTTATAAACCCTGGCGCCCTAGCTTATGTACCTTTCCAATCCTATAGGCCTCGAAATAAACCCATAAACCCTAGACAACTTCCTGAGCCTTCCCATAGCCTATGTACCTGTCGAAACTTTAAACCCCTAAACCCTAAACCCCCATAGCCTATTTCCTGATAGCTTATATATGTACCTTTCGAATCCTAAACCTCCTATCTTATATAACTCTATAACTTCCTGAGCCCCCATTTATGTACCTGTCGAATCTTATAAAACCTATAGCCCTAAACACCCAACCTTATACATAGCCTATTTCCTGAGCACCCTAGCCTATGTACCTTTCGAGTCCTAGAACTTAAGCCTCGACGCCTAAGCCCTAGACAGAGCCCATATAGTGACGCGAGCGATCCAAACCATTCTCGAATTCTACTGGCATTGCTGCCTGACTCGAAATACAAAGCCAAGCGACACCCAGAGTAAGCCCCTGCAACAACTCCTCAAAAAGATCGTCGCTGGAGGATGCTGATGATGACGCCGGAGACGCTGGGCGGCCTTTGCAGGACAGAGTGAGACGGATATAGGTGGGGCGCATACAGCAATTCTAGCAAAGGCACCGTATGCCCATTCTTCATCAAAACCTGCGTGGGATTGCGAGGGGTGTGAATAATGTAATATAATAGTGCTCATCCAAATCTTGCACGAGCTGTTGTTTTTTTGACGGCTGCGTCTTCCCCAAAGGCACAGCTAGGCTTCGAGTGTTGGTCGGCGCACGTACACACACGCTCAAAAGTCCAGCCGTATGGATACACACTGGCCTTTGATCATGAGAACTGCTTCACACAGCTCGCTTTGAGCTGGATTCACCTCTTCTTTTAGAAGGGGTCCGCACTTCAGCATTGCTAGATCTCCGACCCTTACCCCCACCCTGCTTTGCCTTAGCCTTAGCCTTCGCCTTAGCTTTAGCTTTGCCTTTGGCACTTGCCGTGGGCTTCGGCACATTCAGATTGCGAGAGGCCGGGGAAGCTTTGATGGTCCTAAGTGTAGCATGATCCGAGGTCATGGGAATCATAATTGCTTGCGAAATCTTGCGAACAGTTATAGACAAGTGGCTTTGCCCTCATCACATAATTGTTCAGGGCCAGGTCTTCCTTTGTCGCCTGAACAAACGTCACCATGATCTCTTTGTCGATCCTAGTCCATGGCAGGATGAAGATTTGACATGAGATACGCTCTGTAAAATCTGTTGCCCAGTGAGACAGTCCTCTCCAAGTCGTCACTGTGGGCGATTGCGGCTTCGGACTGAAGCTTGACCAGATCATCATAGCATTGGCTGAGGGCATTCAAGGAGTTCTGTAGGGAGTTGAAGATCCTGGGCCCATGCTTGAGCATCAAATCAGTCACTGCTATCATTATAATTAAGCATGTGCAATTATTCAAAGCTCGTTGCTGCGTCGCTTTGGTACTCTTCGCTGCTTGGCACTTCTCCTAGCGCAAGACTAGAGGGTTTACACGGCTTACAGACGTTCTGCCCGCTCATCGGAATAGTCCTTGACAGCATCACCTTGGTCCAGCTTCTTCCCCAGGACCGCCAGGAAGTTGGGCAGAATCGCAGACGCAGACACATTCGCTTGGAGAGCCGGAAAACAAAGCCTCAGATAAGAGCAACTTATACCTCAACTAGATAGCAGCATGCGATCGAGAAATAGATTTCACCCAGTAGCTTGAAAGAAGCCCCGGCCTGAGCAACATAAGCATTCCCTGTCGCAGGAATTGCCCCTGCATTGGCGCTGGAAGCTGGAGCAGGCTCCGTCTCCGGAATCCCATCACCTAGCAGGGCTCCATCAGGGTCCTCAGTTGCAGGGTCACTCAGAATTAAGGGGCAGCACGCAGAAAATTGTTAGGCGTGGCACTTCCATTTCCGCCGCGCCGGAGAATTCAATGCGTCGTCCACGTTCGGTCTCATTGCTCCATGTTTCGTCCAAGGGCACATCAGCCTCTTCAACTCCATGCACCTCGTTCACCCGAAGTCTGCCCCGGGCGCGGGCCCATTCGAAAGCGTTGTCAGCCATGGTCCTTATGAAATATGGCCACGCAGTAAGGATAAAGTAGAAAGCCTAAACTAACTATACGAATTATGGGGGAAGTCCCGGCTCACTTGCCATACCAGCCAGGATACTGAGTAAAGGATCTGTTGTCCATCAACCACTGTTTGGTGTGATATCCTCCCTCTGACTTGTTCTTCTTCCGCTGCTCGTGCCACTGCTTGACAACAACCTCAACCTTCTCGAAGGAGCCGTGCTGGAGGAGCAACTGTCGCAGTTTCTCGCCTTGCTACTATAACACTTATAAAAGTATACCATAATATTATGAGACTAAATCATGATTGGAAGAGTCGCGCCCATCCACTGTCTGAGCCATCTCAAGAACATCCTTGGAGCATTTGGCTACGCCCTGCTGGTTCGGCGTCACGTAGCGGCGCACCCTTGGTCAAGCCATAGGTTTTGGCCGGGGAAGTTTACAAGTGTGGAGCACCCAAAAATCATGGAGATCAAGTTTTGCCACTGGCGTTTTGGATTGGAAAGTTGTAATGGGCCTATAAGTCCTAAACCCTATCACGGCCTATAATATCTATTTCGAATTATAACGCAGGAAATGATGGGAGCAGGGGAGGGAAGGAAGCTTATATAGACCTTTCCTAGATCCCATGCAGCCCGGGTACGGATTGGGGCTTCCTATAGGCATGCCTGGAATTCAAATTGCGTACGCAGAGGAGTTCTCGCAGACTAGAGAAATCGCAGATAAGAATCTTCCAATAACCTTCCTTCTTGGGCTCCTTGGAGGCTTCGGACGGCGCCTTTTGCGAGGTTACTATCGAAGAAGGCGTAAGAGGAGGTCTGGGCAAACGCGTGGCAGGGTTACGCGCGGGTCTGGTGCTGGGCGCAACGCGCGTAGGTGTTGCATCAGGCTGCCCTGGCGGAATTCTGGCTTGGGTGGGCGCAAGGTTCTGCTTGCCAAGATCTTTGGCGCCATGGCCCTTTCCTTTGCTTGCTGGAGTGGGCGTTAGCTGGGTCTCTTCCAGGGTGAATTCTTTGCTTCCACTTTCAGCTGCTAAAGAATCTTTGGAACTCTGGGCCAGCATCCTCGCAGAATCTGAAAGTTCTGGCTTCTTCTCAGGATGCTCGCTGTCATAACGAAGGGTTTGAGGGGATGGAGGGTTTCCTTTGGCAGGAGGAGTTCGGATTGGCTCTGGCTCGGGGAGCGCTGTTTCAGCGAGAGGCTTTGCCGCAGTCCCAGCAACAAAGGCCCCACTCTGTGTCGCCAGGGTAGGAGCTCCTGCAGCCACTACATGCGCATTTCAATTACGCCCTTTAAAAAGTGTTCTGATGGTCTACTGATGCATTTTCCTGGAACCATTGGAGGGATTGCATCAGGGGCATTCGCCATCATGGCCTGGAGGTTCTGTAGCCTGGATTGCGCCGCCTCAGAACAAGTTAACAGGAATTGGTACCCTTCTATAATATGAAGAGCGTGCAACTTTGCAAAAGCCTAGCCACCGCAATGCGAGCATCCAATTCTTCTTCTTCCATGTCTTCCATCGACATTGCTGAAGCTGAGCTGTGCAGCGCGACTAGGCCAGCGTTGAAGGTTTCTAAAGACCGCATGCAGATCGCACACGATCTATAATTGGCCTGTCGAGCCCAGAAGCTAGGCCTCCAAAACCAAATGCTCCATGTTCCAATCTTTCCAACTGGCAGCGTGCATGCAGTCAGCCAACACGCAAGATATTTGCCCAAGCATGAAGCCATGAATGTCCGACAGTACTCCACGCAGTTCCGCCGTTTGCGGGCTTTCTAATCTGGATTTCAATGCGTTTTCTAGAAAAGTACGCGGGGAAAAGACTCAATAGTTATGGAAATTAATTTGCGGGCGTGTTGCGGGAATTTGCGGGCGTGTTGCGGGAAGTTGCGGGCGTGTTGCGGGTTGCCATTTTCAACCTATTCTCCGAAGTTCCAATTTTCATACTTTTTCTTAATTTTCACGCGTGAGGTTTTATTAAACATGATATCAGCAGGCCAAGGTTTCCAGGGCTAGCGAACATTGGAGGAACTGCAGAGCACCAAATCATTGTACTGCTTCCTCAGGCACTCACAGGGGTTCACCTGGGCCACAAAGTACAATTTCAGTAAAATGAGCGCTGGAAGGCATGGTTGCAGGTCAAAGTGCAAGCAAGAAGCTTTGGCATGGAGCTGCTTCTCAAAGTCGTCTATGGCATGCTGCCACGACTCAGGTATTGTTAGATGCTTGTTGGCACGTGCGTACCAGTACACTGCCGCAAGATCTGCGTCCACCCAAATGTCACCAAGCGGTTGCAGCTGAAAAAGTTCCCGATCACTTTGCTGCGGGTCAACCTCATTCTTGCGCCGGAGCTCCCGGCGGACGTGCCAAAGCTCTGTTGAGGAGAATGCTCGGAATAGGGCCGAGCAAAACCGTGGTGGATAGATCCTTATATACATCACCCCTGCCTTCAAAATGACTTTCCTGGAAGGTAGCTGCCCAAAAAACACTATGCGTGTTCACAAGTTTAGCCAAGAAGCCCAGACTCTTTAAGACGCGTGGAGCCAGCAAATTTGATTTCTCCCTTTTTGTTTTTGTATTTTCCTCGGGCAGTTGTCAACTTCATGATCGTCACTATAATAATGCTGGCCATGTGCTGTTGAGGTGCGTACTGTTTTGATCTTCGTTAGTGTCCTGCGTACGCTTGGGGATAGAATTCCAGCATCCAGAAGGCGAACCAGCGGGGAATTCGAAAATAGGCTGGTCCTCTTAGGGCTCGGACAGCCCCACAACATCATCCACAGATTTTGACGATAAACCTTGGTTTAAGTAAGCACACTTTCTATAGAGGCCTGTGCAGACAACATGTACTCTTATTTGAGGAAAGGTACATACAAGACAGCATTGCAAAGCCACTCGAAGCGAGGATGGCGTACTATCAGCGAACACACTGGGTGTTCAAGTACCCATACAGTATGTTGCGCTGTCATGATAAGGATGGCAAGTACCACCCTTAGCTGGACTGCTAATGGCCTAGTGCAATTTGCACGCCGTACGCATGCAATGATATTGAATGCAACTAGGGCTCCGGGAAACCATGACGTTGGCGCCATGAACGTATGCGTGATGCTGGGCACCAGCCCAATTGACAAAGTCACGCTTAGATGTCCCCCGATTGGGAACCCCCCAGCTGCTGCAGACAGGACCAAGTAAGTTGAAAGCCGACTCATTTTCCTGCATGATCACCCACACAACTAGCCTAGGCTGCTCAGGCGCAAGGCAATGCTCGCATCGTCCACTGTAATAATATAGATATGGACAAGCAACAGGAAGCCAGCACAAGTGAGCACGTTCATGCGCGGGGGCTTCAGGATGTCCACTGTGGCCACACTGTAGCCTTTGGATTTCCTGGGCTAAGGGAGGTTATAGGCTTCAGGCTTTGGGGAAGGGGGAGGTCACGAAATAGGAGGGATCATTATCAGGACCCTTTTCTGCCAACACCTGTGACTGGTCACAATTGGCTGTAGCATTGTTTGAGAATGGTGAGTTCTTAAGCTGATGCAGGGCTTTGGCTTGAGCATCCAGATTAATGCAAACAAGAGAACCAGAGTTCAGAAGCATGCGCTGCTCCTGAGAACAGATCCAGGAAATCATATCTGGTATCCGGTAGCTGCGCGCTCCACATGAGCATCAGCACAATCGCTATCAATACCTGGGCGGATAAAGGGGGGAACGTGCCAGGGCCTAGCAATTTTGATACCTACTGCTGAGTAGTGCGCACTATACTACACGCAAGTGCGGCAAGATGCTGTTGGAGCTCCAACATGTATCAGGCGCACGACCAGTGAGGAGTTTGGAAGCTTTCGCTTCTGCGCATCCATTGAATCTGCAAGGTCTAACCTGCAACCTGGTCTAAACCATCGATATCTAGAGCCACAGCTTGAATGTTTTGGTTTCAACGCATCCGATGGCATGCAGCAGCTTCTACTCCATGTAAAGCAGTGCAAGGAGGGGCTCACCATCAGTGTACAGCGAAGACCACATCATCCATCAACCTCAAAATTCGCGAAGCATTTCATCTGCACTTTCCCTTTAAAAGAAAACCCCGCAGGCCTGGTCCATGGGGCAAATTGGAAGCCAGCAGCCGATGCGCCTTGCCGGTACAAGTCATGGGGTTTGCTTTTGGGTTTGATGGCTTAGCTGCTCAAAGTCGCATCCGGGGTAGCCCTCTTATAATAATGACTCCTGCTAGGCTTATATTATCTGGGCTACATATCGAGTAAAGGCTTCAAATCTTGATCAGGCTTCCATGCTCTTGTCTAGAAACCAGGCCTCCACCCAGAGCAGGGATGCCGAAGTGATGGGCCAGGTACCTTCGCCAATGCTATATATGATTGCATAGGTTTTGGCAGAGTCATGTGCTTCTTCGAATGTACTGTGTTGGGATCCCTATAGTCTAATTGTTAAGTGCCGGGTTTGAAGACTGAGCAGGCGCGCTGCATGTGGCGAAATCGAGTTGACATAGGCATCCATCCACGGTACCATTTACCTGGCACATGTGGTACTGTGGAAGGTCCAGCGAGCTGTTACAGCAGGCAGTAGCCAAATCATTACGAGCTATAGTCTAAACTCCTATAGATATATTATATATGTATCGAGGATCCCCCGTATACACCATATCCCAAATACAATCCCCTATACACCTCCCTTTTTTAGGAGTTTAGGCTACAGCTTATATAAGGCGATCGCATCACTTTTGGAATGCGCATGGGCGGAGAAAGCTCAGCGTTGCGAACAGTATGGATCAATCACTCCATGGAAGCTCCTGGTGCCCTTTGGCCCCTGCATAACCCATGGATGCTAAAATGCGAGCTGGCAGGGGTTGAGTGTTCCACCCTACAACGTACCAGCCAAAACCCCCTAAGCCACCCTACCACTGCGTGAAAGCACACATGTGGTCACGTGGTCACGATCAGATTAGACTAGCAAGTCTTCTTCCTCCAGCGATCACACAGTTTCCTTGTAGGCCTCAGGGGAGATTATTATGTAGAGAAAACATTGCTTGACAATTCATGGAAGACTAAGATGAATTCTTGTGTAGGGCGCAGGGTTTAGGTTCAGGATGTTATAAGGGCTTAGGGTATATAGGATTTAGGGCAAATTTAGGGCTTAATTAGGGTTTAATGAAGCGTCCAAGACGCGGCTTTTGCCCTGCGTGTGGCTTCTTCAAGTGAAAGTCCCTGCTTCAGAGCTGCTGCTTTGGCTACATGGTATGCGCTGCTTTTTCTGCTGTTCTTGGCACGCCTTTCCTGATCCTTCACGTCTTGCTCGTCAGTGGTGGCCTTGCTTTTCTTGCTGGAAGGCTCAGCCCCGCGCTTCGTTTCTTTCTGCTTGCTCTTGCTTGCCTTGTCTGCAGCCTTTGTGTTCTGGGCCATTGGTGCTTTTGTTTTTGCTGCTGCTGCTTTTGCTTTGGCCTTTGCTTTGGCCTTCGGTTTCCCCTTGGCCTTGGGCTTGCTGGTTGCCGTGGAGGGCTTGGTTTTGTCCTTTGGGTTTGCTTTGCGCGGGCTTGCTTCAGGTGCTGCTGCAGGTTCTGCCGCTTCTGCTGCTGCTTCTCCTTCCTCTTCGTCCTGGTTCTTGTACTCCTCATCGATGTCCGTGTCATCTGCTCTGGTTTTGCCCCTGCCCCGACCCCGCCCTCTCCCTCTCCCTCTTCCTCTACCTCCACCTGCCCCTCTGACAGCCGCCACCTGCTCCTTGGGCGAAATAACGGGCAAGTCTTTTAGGCATTCAGGCTTGCCTTTGCTAGGCAGTTGCTTCTCCTGCTCAACTTGCTTGTCTTGCTGGTCGGGTGGCTGCGTTGCTGTACCTTGTCCTGTGGCCGGCTTGCTGGGGGCTCGGTTTGGTTCGGCGCTGTTTGTGTCTGCGGGGCATGGCACTGTGGGGCTGCTTGCCAGCGTTGTGGCTGGGTCTGGATGACTGGCGGTTGCTGGTGGGCTGGCTGAGGTCGTGACATCCGCTGCTAAATTGGCTTGGTCTGGGCAACTGCCGCCAGTTGCTGGCTCTGGGTTGGAGCTGTCCCCCAAT